GGGAGGGTTTGGGGCGGACATATGTCATTGAGCTTGCCATGAGGACCCCCACAGACACCTTTGTGCACGTTTGCTTAGTATAGCAGACCCTAACTTGACTCACCCGCGCTCATGGCCGCTTCGATAAGTCGTTTAGTGGCATTCGGAGCGGCTTCCACAAGAAAGTAGAGGACATCGTCTGGGGTCGCCAACATCTCTGTGCTCGACAGCACAGAGACACCGACGCGCAAAGCACTTAGTAGTGGCCAAATGTTCACCGAGATGTTCACGGATCCTTTCTCGACATCCTTGAGGGCTTGAACGGCGGGGTGCTCTCCAAGGGTTGGAGGGTTGCGTGGGTTGGCTCGTGACTGCGTCCTTTGGGATTGGTAGACATATGGTAGAGGGGAATTGTGTTAGTTGCCTGCCCGAACATGAAACAATAACATGGTTTAGGCGACTCCATAGTGCGCTACAGTGATCGATGTTGAGGTTTCCATACAGGGAGGGTGGGGGGAGGGGAAGTATACATTAGGAGGAGGGGGGAGGGTCATAGAGGGGGAATAGAGGGAGGTAGTTTGGACATGTAGGAGAAAAGCGTTGGGCTGAGTGAGACAGGGAGAGCTGCATGGAGTATCGCACACGGTGGAGAATTCGCTGGGGAATCGGGTGGGGGTAGGCGGAGGGGGAACGAAGCGAGGTATTGATGACGGCGGATACAGAGACACCGCAGGGGGGGTAGTAGGTGGCAGTCAGCTGACGGGGTCCACTGGTGAGGATTCAAGGTTTGGAAGGGGGGGGGGTAGGGGGGACGAGGGAGTGCAAAGGGAGGAGTTTGGCAATGAGAGGGAGTGTAATCTAGCTGACGGCTTGCGTCTAGCTGATTTATGCGGCGAAGAAAGGCGGGGCAGGGAGGAGGGGAGAAGAAGGGGGATACATTTGTGGAGGCTGTGGGGCCTATGAAGGGCGTGGAGAGGGTGACGAGGGGCGAGCAAGAGACCGTATGAGGCTAAAGAATGGCCATCATACAGGGGTGTAACGTGGTATAGTGGCAATGGGCTGGTGTGCATCGCACACTTTGGGAGGATTAGTAGTTCACCAGAGATCGCTGCACGGGGGCGGGGGGGGGGAGAACAGGGGGGGAGGGAGAAAGGGGAATGTTTGAGTGGGGTGCGTATCGGGGGATAAGGAATGTCGTAGCTGCTAGGGCTATTTCCCTTGCACACAGAATGGGGTAAGGTGCTGGATTTGTGGGTGGGGGAAATGGAGGTGTTTGCTAGCAGCGGGGAGGTTCCCACCTCACAGGCACGAGTCCTGTGGGGGGTTAGAGCATGGCCAGCGTGGAGGTTTCAACTGCTAGGCTGAATCTGTCCTCTCTAAATTGTTTCCCCTTCAAAGCATACAGGGTGACTGATGAAGGTATAGTAACATGCAAGGGTGGGCTGGTTGGGGGGGTCTGGGGGCGTGTCTCCCATATGGGTAATGGTGCAACCCTAAGCCGTGGAACCTTGGCACTTCCCTTCACACCCCTCACTTCACCTCCTCCCATTTCGTTTCCAGCCCCCTTGTGCCAGTTTCCCTCGTGACATGCCTCTAGTGCGAGGTGGGGTTCACTGCTCTGCCCCCCCCCCCCTCCCCCCCCACTCCGCGTGCATCTCTGCCGCCAACGATCTGGTCGTAGTCGTACATTTCTCATTGAGGCTATTCCCGAGGTCACCTTTTGGCTTCCCTTGGAAAAGAGCTCACCTGCGTCGAGGGGCAGAGCCTGCTGGCCTGCGCTTTCCCCTCATCACGGGTATCGATTGTCCAGCAGGACGGAGCCCGTACCACGTTCCCGCGCAACCGTCGCACCCTCTGCTAAATCCTCAGGAAGACGCCAACATGGCGCATGTGAAGATAAGAGAACAGGGGAAGCAGCACAGGGACGGTGCAAAAGAGTGTAACGCGGGTGGGTGCAGGGCGATGGCGAGTCAACCTTGGGCCCTCGATCGATCCTCTACATGTATAACCTAAAACAATCCTGAGGATGGGGAAGACGGACAGCTTGGCTGAGAGGGGGAGAAGTGTGGCAGGAGCCTAATAGGGGGAGAAGAGAAAAAGGGATTGGGAATATAGGAAAAGGGGCAAAGAGGGGCGGTTGGGAATAACAAGGTAGGAAGGTGAAAGCAGGGAGGGATAGGGAAAAGGTGGGTTGATTAGTGGGAATTTAGGGGGAAAGGAGAAAACACTAAGATTCTATGGGAAAGCAGGGGGTGATGGGGCAAACAGGGGTTGACGGGGAAAAGACAGATTGATTGGACGGAAACAGTGGAGAACGGGGAACACAGGGGAAGATTTGATGGGAGGGCGGGGGGTGATGGGGTATAGAGGGGTTGACGGGGAAAAGGCAGGTTGATTGGAGGGAAGCAGGGGAGAACGGGGAAAACAGGAGAAGATTTTATGGGAGAGCAGGGGGTGATGGGGAAAATAGGGGGTGATGCGGTATAGATGGGTTGACGGGGGAAGGGCGGATTGATTGGTGGGGAACAGGGGGTAGGGAGAAAACAGAGTAAGATTCTATGGGGAAGCGGGGGGTGATGGGGGAAACTGGTAAGACAAAACAGGAGTGGGAGAAGGCAGAATCCCGCGCCTGGCCTCTCCCCTCAAACCCTAATCTAGCGGCAAACGCACCCGCGGGCTCAGGTCCATAAGCAACACCACCATTCTAGGCCGCCACGGCAACAGGAAAGGTCGCCATAATGTGTGGGGCGTCTCGCGCCTGTCGCGCAACCGAATGGGACAAACAAAGCCATCCCGGCTATTTCGGGCGCAGCTCTCTCGCAGGGTATTGGCGATCCCGCACGCAGCCGCAAAACCCCGTGCCTAGTTATAGAATTCTGCTCCTTGTCACTGCATTCTGCGCCTAGTCACAGAATCCCGTGCCTAGTCACAGAATCCCGCGCCTAGTCCCGGAATCCCGCGCCTACTCACAGAATCCCACGCCTGGTCACATAATCCCGCGCCTAGTCACGGAATCTCGTGCCTAGTCACAGAATCGCGCGCCTAGTCAGAGAATCCCGTGCCTAGTCACAGGATCCCGTGCCTAGTCACAGGATCCCGCACCTAGTCACAGGATCCCGCGCCTAGTCACAGAATCTCGCGCCTAGTCACATAATCCCGCGCCTAGTCACGGAATCCCGCGCCTAGTCACATAATCCCATGCCTAGTCACGGAATCCCGCGCCTAGTTACGGAATCCTGCGCCTAGTCACGCAATCCCGCGCCTAGTCACAGAATCCCGAGCCCAGTCACAGGATCCCGCACCTAGTCACAGAATCCCGCGCCTAGTCACAGAATCCCGCGCCTAGTCACGGAATCCCGTGCCTAGTCACGGAATCCCGCGCCTAGTCACGCAATCCCGCGCCTGTCACAGAATCCCGCGCCTAGTCACAGGATCCTGCACCTAGTTACAGGATCCCGCGCCTAGTCTTAGAATCCCGCGCCTAGTCACAGAATCCCGCGCCAAGTCACAGAATCCCGCGCCTAGTCACAGACTCCCACGCCTAGTCACAGAATCCCCCACCTAGTCACAGAATCCTGCGCCTGGTCACAGAATCCCGTGCCTAGTCACAGAATCCCATGCCTAATCACAGAATACCGTGCCTAGTCACAGAACCCCGCGCCTTGTCACTGCAGTCTGCGCCTGGTCACAGAATCCCACGCCTAGTCACAGAATCCCACGCCTAGTCACAGATCCCGCGCCTAGTCACAAAATCCTAGGAATCCTTGTCACATTGAATGTGCGCCTAGGCTCCCGTGCTCCTTGCCTCGTGTCTTCCTGGGGCGACGTCGTGTGTGGCGTCGGCGTTTCCGTCCCCCGCGTTCTGAGTTTGTCTCGCTCTGGTTTCAGCCTGCCAACTCTGCCTTGGACGTTCTTGGTTCGCGGCACGGAACTATCGCTGGATAGGTTCACGCTCAGCTTCCACACCCAGCCAGTACTATCCGTGTAAGCGCCTTTGTCGTGCTTGTTATTGCGCTGTTTGGATTCCGCTTCAGAATGCCAGTGTGCTGCTTCTTCCCTTCTACTAACAGAGGTTTGCATAGGCCTGTTATGTTGGTGCCGGGTGGAGTAGTGTCATGTCAACTAGTCTCATTTGCCATCACCTGGAGCAGTAGTGCATTTCCTGTTTTGCTCCCTGCAGGACATGCTGGTCCCCTCTCGGGATTGCGTGCAACATTCCACCTGTTTCGCGTGCTTCCTTTTTTCCGCCTAACGCCCATTCCCGAAATCCTTTTCGCAAAGTTTAGCTTGCACTGTTTTCAGGGTCAAGATTCTTGTTTTTCAACCATTCTGAACTCGGACTTTAAAGCCCGACCAGCAGGTTGCAACTCTCTTTTTCTCAAGATGCTGCATCTTGAGAAACTGTAACCGAACCCACGCGCAGCAGTGGTTGACGAGACTCAAACTCCTCAACTCTGTGCCTCGACAAACTTGGCAAGTTTGCGTCCCTGCCAAGTATCGAGGTGAACAAGCACGAAGTGTGCTCAAAGGGTAATTACTCGTTTAAATTTTGACTTTCGAGCGGTTTAGCGCGAGTGTACCGATGTGTGTTTGATTGCACAAGGGCGAAACCGAAGCCCAATAGTTTCAGGGAGGGTTGTTAGCGCAAAAACGCAGGCACGAAAACCCCCCTTGCCCTAACAAAAAAAAAACGATTGGGTTGTTAGCGCAAAAACGCAGGCACGAAAACCCCCTTGCAACATGGCAAAGAGGCAGGTGTGAGTCCCCTGCCAAATGGCGGGGCTCAAACGTGACACCTCTGCCAGGTTGCGTAGCCCTTGGGAACTCCCGCGCAAGCACGAGGTGGACGAATATGAAGTTTCGCAAAAACGTTTCGCTTGTCTTTTTCCTCGTCAACCAATCGTAACATGCCGCCCCTCCTACTTCAACAGTACCAATATGCAACCTGCCCGGTCGGGCTTTAACCATTGAGCTGAAACCTTTGGCTCTGATTAGCAAGTGTCATAGGATCGAATCAGATTTGCCCCAATGTTGGACTATCCATGAGTACAAGGTGCTTTTGTACTTCCATAGTGCATCAGGTAACCAAGTTTATAATATCTAGAGGTAATAGACCCTTCTAGAAATAAAATCATCCTGCGTATAGCCATGCCAGGCTATTGGCTTTAAGGGACTACAACAGGATTACGCTAGATATAGCGCGCCTGTACATCCTGAGCTCTCACAGTCTGCATGGCACGGAGAAAAGATGCGGAGGCAGACACTAGCCCGTTCGCAGTCTCGCCCTCCACCGCGCGAGAGAGGGCAGTCACGGCAAGAGGTGTCGCGGCAGCCTCGTCAGCAATAGCGCGAGGCGCTGTGGGGACGTACACCAGTCCCCACAGCAGACGAGTTGCTGCCTCCTCCACGCGAGCCCGCTGGCGCCGTGACAAGACAGGATCACGAGCAACACCTCCATCACCTCCGCGAGCCAACCGAGGCAGTCCGCTATCCCCAGCAGCTGCTGAGCAAGACTGTAATGCGGACCGTCACGCGACCGACGCAATCGGGGCACGGCGAGAGGAGGACCACACCGCTACCGAACCCCACGCGGCGGGCCAACAGGAGAGGCAAATTCGTCGGGCACCACCTCCCGAGAACGAATCCCAACGAGCGGACGCCTATAGGGCGGATCATGACCGCCGCCAGCGCGATAGGAACATGGACAACGCGGCACCTCCGACGCTTCAGGCAGCAGAGGAAACAGGTCAGACAGGTGTTGTGCCTCCCACACGCAAAGGTGGCTTCGGGGAGACAACAGCAAATCCAGCTCCATCATGGAACGTGGATCGCGGAGAGCAGGGGGTGGCTTCAGGGACCGGGGCAGGGAGCAGCAGACTGACGGCACGAGGAGCGGGAACCGTGCGGGGGGGAGGGAGAGCAGGAGGACGCCACGGAAGGGGATGCAGAGGAGGACGAGCGGGCAGAGGACCAGAGGCAAAGCTGGCGGAACGGGGAGAGAGGCTCTGGAGGGAGCGCCACGGAAAGGAACTATGGGCGGAAGTAGAGGGGAGAGCTAATGGGGAAGAAAGCTCCGAATCATCAAGTTATATGCCCTCCTCTGCAGCACCCCTGGAGGACGAGTCAGTCACTGAGGAGGGGCAGACTGGAGGGGGGGAAATCGGAACGCGAGATGATCTGAGGTGCACTCACATGGAGGGAACATCGGAGCACCACTAAACCCCAACCCAAACTTGGCGAACCCAGCGGCACTGGAAACCCGTGCGCCAGAAGTTCTGGCAGGGGATAACGAACTCTGGCGAAGAGTTGAAGTATGGGACATTTCTCAACTTACCAACTCGCGACAACCCCACTTGCCGTGGCGCCTGCCCCCAAAATTTTTGGAGAAATTCACACACTGCCTCCTGACCCCGCTCATCCGAATCTCAACCGAGTCAACTCGACTCGGAGTGTGGCTGGTATTCCAATTGCTACCCCCGCTGACCCTAAACATGGGGGCAGATCAGAAACCAGACTGGGTGGCAATACAACACCATTTCCACCTGTTTAGATCTGGCGCGTGGGAATACCTACTACGATAAGCCCAAACCAACCTGACAACCCGCCAAACCACGCAACACAAACCAGACACACAAGGACTAAAGGCACGGGCAGAGGGCCTGGTCAAGAAGGCGAACCTCGCCAAAGCAGCAACGGCACTCCACCACACCCCCCTCGCCACAGCATCAGAATCCACCCTCCTGACGCTACATGACAAACACCCACCTGCAGCGAGCCCACTTCCGGCACAGCTGGCAGGCCATGTCACCTCGACCCTCAGCATACCAGCAAAAGAGTTCAAACGCCTACTTGCCTCCTGCTCAAATGGAGTGGGCGCAGGACCCTCGGGAGCCTGCTATGTGCATCTGCGGGACCCCGCGCTGACCAACAGGGAAGACTGCAAACACCTCCACTCGGGATGCAACCACCTGCTCAGCACGACTGTACCAGACGACATAGCAGACTTGCTCCTGCTCAGCCGCCTCCTAGGCTTCGAGAAACCAGGTGGTGGGGCACGGCCCATAGCCATAGGATAAACCATCCTCAGAATAGTGGGCAAAGCAGCATTACCGTCTCTCGGAGCGGAGATCAGATAGTACCTACTCCCAGTTCAGTTCGGGGTCGCGAATTTGGGAGGCTCGGAATGCGTTATCCATGCCATCAAGACGTACCTCAACCCCACCCAGACCATACAGCCATAGCGATTGGCATAAGCAACACGTTCAACTCGTTAGAACATGCTGCCTTCTTCGCTAGCCTGCTCTGGTCTCGACTAGCGGCACTGATACCGCTAGCAAAAAGCCTCAATGCCCGACCGTCACTGTTTTTTTTGGAAGACGGCTACGTTGAGACGGCACTCACCAGCGATCGTGGCATCCACCAAGGAGACGCTATCGGCCCGCTACTCTTCGCAACCGCGATTCAGCCGGCTCTTCTCCGCACAGCGACCGCCTACCCAGCAGTGATGCTAACCGCATATGCCGCTGACATCACCATTGTCGCCCCCCCAGCTGACACAGGAGACGCTCACACACTCCTGAAATCCCTGCTGGCAGAAAGTGGGCTGACATGCAACCAACAAAAAAGTGCCGCATGGAGCCCGCGAGGCATCCCACCAGGAACCATACCAATGGGGATACCTGAAATGACAGATGGGCTACGAATCCTGGGCAGTCCGGTGGGCACACCGGCCTTCTGCAAAACCTATCTACGGAACGAGCTGCCGACAGCCGCGCAACCACTACCACTCATTGCGGGCCTTCACCCGCAACACGCTCTGCTCCTGCTGTCAAAGTGTTTCTCCCGAAGAGTCACCTTCCCGCTCCGCTCCACGCCAGTCGACCTACTACCCTTCGAGACATGGAGGGATTGGAGTGAAGGGCTGGTCAGACGGGCACTGGATGCGGCACTACTGTGGTACCCCCAGTGTGCACTCGACCAGAGCCTGCTTTGGAGGCAAGCAACCCTCCCAACAGGACTCGGGGGGTTGGGCATCATTGATCCAGTGGCGGAGGCGCCGACAGCCTATCTCGCCTCGACCACAGCGGTCAAGCACCTCCTCAGCTCCCACCCCCTCAGCCAGGACCCCCCCCTGGCAACGACAGCAGCACAGCTCACCGCAGCAGCAGCAGATGGGCTACCAGTGCAGCAAACCCTCCACGACATGGAAGGGCGGCTGCTGGAGAAGGGACAAGCACTGCTGCAGGAGGAACGAGCAGGAGCTGGGGGGCGACGGCTACAGCAACAGCTTTCGGCAGAGCTCAACCATGCGTGGGCTGAAGCACCGCTGGCTGACACATGACTCGACCGGCCAGGAATGAAAACAGCCATGCTATCCGACTGCTAAGCCTACGGGGTCTAGGGCCGGGGACTGGCTCCACGCCATCCCCACATGCCCTGACCTCAGCCTCTCACCAGGCCAATTCTTAGTGGCCCTGGGCTTTTGCCTTGGCCTTTCCCTCCCAGTCCTGGGCACCTGCGACTGTCGCAAACGCACAGCCATACCCGACTACAGCCTACCCAACCACCTACTACGCTGCAGAGATGGCCCCTGACGGAAGCGCTAACATGACGCTCTGGTGTACGCGGTCCTGTGGATGGCACGGGAACCAAAGTACATCACCTACCATGAGACAACACTGTACTCCCCACCCGCCAGCAGAAAGCGAGCTGACCTGGCAATCCGGGACCCCGAGTCAGGAGTGACCTGGGTAACGGATATCACCCTCACGGACCCACTGCTGCTCCGCCAGGACCTACAAGCCAGGAAGCAGCCAAGGAAGCAGTCCACGCAAAGGAGAGGAAGTACCGCTCCAGGGCGGAGTATGTGGGGTTTTTCGGTCTGGCCGCCGAAACCTATGGCGTGCTGGCCCCATCAATGGCAGATTTCCTTAAGCTGCTGGCCAAGCATGCGGCGAAGGTGAAACTCTGGGAAAAACCCCAACACCAAAACTGCGACCAAGCTAACGGCCCACTTCCCGCAGCGCTGGGCTATCCTGCAGCAGCACTGTCAAGCCAACACGCTGGTGGCCAAGGCCAACCAGGCCACGGAGGCGGCCTTTGACCAGGGAGCACCGGACCCCAGGGACCCCACGCTGGGGGGTCTGTTTCAAGTGCAGGAAGGCAGCTAGGGCAGCAGGGGCCACTGCCAGACACAGGTCCGCCATTAGGGCTGCCCTGTATTGTGCATAATCCCTCTGTTATGTGCATGTATGTGCCACCATGTCTATGCCCATGTACCAACGCTTTAAAATGTAATAAAGGAGTGCTTGAGAGAAGGGGAGAGCGAGAGAGAGAGAGAGAGAGAGAGAGAGCGAGAGAGAGAGAGAGAGAGAGAGAGAGAGAGAGAGAGAGAGAGAGAGAGAGAGAGAGAGAGAGAAAGAGAGAGAGAGAGAGAGAACAAGAGAATAGGAGAATGAGAGAGTGGGAGAACGGGAGAATGAGGGAATGTGAAAATGAGACAATGAGACAATGAGAGAATCAGAAATCCAGAAAATGAGAGAATCAGAATGTGAGAGGATGGTCAATGCGAGAATGAGACAATGGGAGAATCGGAAAACCTGAGAATGAGAGAGAGACAATGGGAGAATGAGACAATGAAAGAATCAGAAACCCAGAGAATGAGAGAGTGGTGAATGGTATGACGAGACAATGAGGGAATCAGAAAACCAGAGAACGAGGGAATGATAGGGTGGTTAATTGGAGGATGAGCGAATAAAGAAACCAGAGGAAAAGTGAGTGGGCGAATGTGTGAAAGGAGGAGTGGGAGAATGCAAGAATGAGTTATTGAGAGAATAATTAAAGAGCATGGGATGGAGATAACATGTTTAGTTCAGCTTGAAAAAAGAAGGCATGGTAGAACACGGGAAACGGAAATGAGGATTGAAGAATGGAAAATAAGGAAAACGGAGTAGGGGATTGAAGGCATGGGAGTAGTGGGAAGAGAGAGAGAGGGAAACAGGCCCGCATGCTAGGTGCCAATGCACAACTCGCCACCGCACAATGCGCTAAAGTGCTACGGGCGAGCGCACAACGCGGCCGCGTGCTAGGCGCCAGCGCGCAACTCGCCAGCGAGCTAGGCGCTAGCGCGCATGGCGACAGCGTGCAATGGGCTGCAGATCCTAAAGTGACCTTATAACTAGGTCGTAATGGTGCAGCCAAAAACTTCAAAATCTAGGACACGATGGGTAGAAGTCTTACAAACAAGCTAGGGAGGTGAGTAACATACCTATAAGACGTGAGGTGTGGGGCGTTAAGTGCCATTGCTGGCGAGAAACAGGGGAGTAGCTGGAGATTGACGAGTGGTTGGAGGGAATCAAGGGAGTAGCTGGTGAAAGAAAGAGAAATGAAACCCTAGCAATCGTGCCCTCATCGCATAACAACGTTATCTGCTGGTAAATATGAATCTCGTCGATTTTAGCTTAAAACCCGCGGCCCAAATTGTTCAAACGCACTGCAGATGAACCCTGAGTGTGGGCTTAGATGAAACACACGGAAAAATCGTGAGGGTGTTTCTTCTCACGAATTGGAAAGCGGTTGTGGACCGTCAAATGTGCCCTCAACCATTCGACGGTTGAGATTGCATTACGAATGTCTGTATGTGGTGAGAGCAAAGAAGTTGGCTTGTGGGCCGTCGTGAAACCACTGACGGCTGAAAACTGCACTGCATACGATGTTCCACAATACTTGGCGCGCTCAAATTGAAAGTTAACCCCTGAGTGATGAGCGCCTAGTTACTTTACCCCGTGAAACTACGGTTCTCAAATGCACTGCATTTGAAGGCGGCGCCTCGCAATTTGGGCCGGGAGTTTTAGCTGTCTGTGAGTCTGAGACCACAGGAAAGGCCTCGGGTTCGAATTCTCCAAGTGGTATACTCTGATTGATGAATAAATTGGAATGTTTTGTGTCATTCACAAAAGTGCAATTCTGTTGTTAAGTGAATTTGCCAGTGCGTTGGTGCCACATTATTCATGTACTTTGTCGCCTTTTTGTACTCAAATGTTTTAGTGATACCCAACACTGTTATGATAATCTTCGGATGGGAGTCGAGTAAAGCAACAGAAAGGTAGAGACTCAAGTGTGTCGAATACAAATGAGGCACAGTGCTCAATACAAGCACAGCTAGCCTAGCAAGGGAAATTCGAGGAGGGCTACAAAACATACGCGAGGTGGTTTGGTTGGACGCCTCCGGGCTCGGAAGTGTCAGACGCAACTGCACGTGTAGGCTTGGGGGTCTTGAACGTAGCGAAGTCCCTCCACAAAATAACTCTCTATAGAAGCCTAAATGGGCAGGAACGTAGCTCTTATACCAACTGTTATGTTAATCTCCACATGGGAGTCGAGCTATGCAATAGCGAGGTAGTGATTCAAGTGTGTCGAATACAAATAAGGCACATGGCCAAATATAAGCACAGCTAGCCTAGCAAGGGAACCTCGAGGAGGGCCACGAATCACACGCGAGGTGGTTTGGGCGCCTCGGAAGTGTTGGACGTGACTCCACGTGTAGGCTTGGGGGTCTCGAACGTAGTTCATGACCTGGGTTGCACGTGGTGTTAGCGAGGATTCGCTAAGGAAATGGAATTTCCTTAAAAACACCAAATTTCACATAAGTACAAACAGTAAGCAGGCATTAATAAAATCACTTAAAATAAAGAATAACGTCGCAACCCTAAGACGATTTCATCAACTCTTTTTTTCCCCCCCCCTCTCTCACCGCTAGGGCTAGGACTAGGGCCAAGGCGGAAGCGCGGGTGGGCGAGGAGGACCTAGCCTAGCGTGATACGATACCATCTCAAGATAACGAAGTAAACTAGAATGGGTAGTACAGGGTAGTTTTGTGCTAGGTGTTGTACTCTCTATGGCATGCACCTATCTAGCCTATAACAATCTATATCAATATGTTGACACCATCTGCTCTCAATACAAACGCTTCATATATACCGTAATCACCCGGATAGACGCCCCTATGGGCGTTTATAGGACTGGTTTTTAATTAAGGGGGGGCGTTTAATTGAATAAAAAATATACGCCCATGGGCGTTTATAACGAATTTTACATAATATATATATATATTTTTTAATGAAAAACTGTAGGTCTTGATGTTTGTAGGCTATTGGGCGTGGTTCCAGAGGGGACACGCCGAGAACATGCACGGAAACTAGGCTTGAATGTACGGCCAGCACAGCAAGGCAAGAAAGCTGCCATGCGGCCCTATCACAAGCAATCCTGGTGCCGTACTGTGCCAGCACACATGGTTTGGTGGTGTTGGGGACCACGTTCCTGCAACATCCGCACCAGGGCAGCGACGTGGCTTGGGATACCAGGAATCTGGGCAGGAATCTTTCAGAAAATATTCCTTCCTCCACCCCTTTCATCGACGAGGAATCTGACCCCGACGAGGAACCCAAGCCGCCTTCCAGGAGGGGGTACCTCGTCGAGGGGTTCAGTATTTCATTTCCTATCGATGTGAACGCTGAAGCAGCACCAGCTCCCCTTGCGGGAGCTATGGCTGGCTTTCCCGTGTCTGGCATTTCGATCCTTTTTGGTAGACCAGGCGAGCCCACACGCATTAGAGCAGAGCATCGTCTAGCTCCTCCAGCACCTCCCGCTCCTCCGGCTCCTCCGGCTCCTCCGGCTCCCCCTGCCCCTCCTGCTCCGCCGGCTCCTCCCACTCCTCCTGCCCCGTCAGCGCCACCCACTCCTCCGTACGTGTACGGACTGCCGGTCCTGACTCTGCTGCTGTCGGGCAAGAAAATTCCGCAAGACGACATCAATGCCCATCTAAAGCCCGACGCTAGCTCTTCCGCTGCGCCACCTGCTGCTCGTGATTGGGGGATTCCGCACAGCGATGAGTGGCCTGAGCACGACGCGGATGCTGATGATGGAGCCGAGTACTGGTCTCTGGATGGTCTTCCCGAGAAGCTCCCTGTGCCGTCCTTTCCCGAGGGCAGAAAACCGCCACATCCATCTTCTGTGAATCGAGATGCCTGCCCCCCATCTTCCAGGAATCGGATGAACGGGAGGAAGCAAAAGTCCTACACGGCAAAGGAGAAGCTATTTTGGCTGGACCGACTGAAAGAGGTAAAGAAGAAGAATGAAGTCGCACGAGAGTCTGGAATCTCGCGCCGCCGCATCAACGACTGGTCGAAGCACGAGGAGGAGCTAAGAGCTGCCCACGGCTGCCGTAAGACGCTGCATGGGCAGGGGAGGTCTTCTTGGTACGCCGATATGGAGACACAGGTGTATTCGAAGCTTCTCGCCGCGCACGCTGTGGGAACTCCGGTCCCGGTGTCAAGGCTGCAGAAGTGGTCATGGGAGTTAATGAAGGTTCTTCACCCCGACGTCAAATGGCAGGGCTCCTACTGCTGGACCGAACGATTCCGGTCAAGGTGGAATCTGTCGGTTCGCGCCAAGACGAAAGTCGGTCAGAAAATGACCGATAGTAAGTACATCATCATTGCATCCGTTTCTGTCTCTTCTTTCCGCTTATGTACGTACTCTCTTATTCGATTTCACACTGTTGCTCCATATGAATGTTGTACTAAGTCGTGTTTTTATCGAATTCCCATACTGCCCTCCCACAGGTTGCTCGGCAGAGGTCGAAAACTTCTGGCGATTCTGCAGGGAGGTGCGGAGGATGTACGGCATTGAAGAGCGCTGGATAATCAACGCCGACCAAACTCCAATGTGGTTGGAGATGCCGGCTGACCGCACCGTCGAGCAGGTCGGCGTCAACTCCGTCCCTATCCGCTCCGCCGGCTACCAGAAGGAGCGAGTTACTGTTATGCTCGCGTGCACGGCAGGGGGGGAGAAGCTGAAGCCGTGGGTCTACTTCAAAAGGAAGACCATCCCTCAAGG